CCGTGAACCTTGAGCCTTTTTCATATATCTCTTTGAGCTCATCTTTGAGGTAAGGAACGCTCTATTTTATCTTTCTACTATAGTATTTATATTGTACTCATAGAGCACTGTTATGTGAATATGATATGAGAATAGATGAGTACTTAATATGGAAGATAATTAAATCTACTGAATGATTATAATGAGATTTTATGAAATATATCTGGGTAAAATGGTATGTTGGAAAGATATTGATATCAAATGAACTAGAATATAATTAGTCTGGAAGTGCTTTACTAAGCACGATCTTATGGGTGGGAAGAAAGGATAATTATGAGAATGACTCTAAGAGTTGAGTATAAATTGAATCTAATGTGAATAGTTACAGAGATATACTAGGAGTATAGAGTTCAGAGACGATGAGAATCTGAAAGAAACGTAAGGTGGTGAGCGACATTCACATATGTGTACACACTCTTTTTGAGAGCGAATGTGTCACATGGCCTCACACTTGTTTCCTGAAGAGAATCCTGACTGTGCCTTTGTTAAGGGGCCCAATTATTGTACATGTTGTATTCGTGTGCATTGACTAACCAATGACTATTTACCTAGTTAAGTAAAACCTCGAAAAGTGCTGGAGGCATTGATATCTGTGATCACAATGCACTGGAAGTGCATGTTGGAATGAGAGAAAGGAAAATGAATGCTAAAGCATTAAATGTTAGGTGTGATGTGAATGTTTATAATTATGAATTCGTGAAATTGAATGTGTTGCTTTTATGTTAAAATTATGATTTTATGCTAAATGATTCTGTTCATCCTTACTAATAATTTCAGGGAATCAAGATGACAGAGCCTTAAGGAAGGATTAGGTTAATTGATAGTTTTGTACATTTTAGGTTGAATTATGTATTTAATGAATACCAAAGACTGTGTTATTTTAAATTTGCTATTCTTGTAGATAATAAACCTAGAACTTTTGTTATGATAGAATTGGAGTACTTTTATAGCATTCCTTTTGACTTCCCAAGAAGTAGAATACACCAGACCTTATGTGTATATATGTATAAAGGTACTATTAGGAGTCCAGTAGCCATCACGTACTTATTTACTTACCACAATCATGACTCTCTCGAAAGACCATCCAGATGGACCTTTAAGCGAGATACTGGCACAGATGTTAGAGCCGATTCAGGAGATCTCTATCTAGGATCGGACAACAATCTGGATTCGAAAGATTTATCTGAGACAGAGAGTTAGGATGCTGGAGATGAGTAGGACCTGTCTCAGTAGTTGAATTTGGAGGAAAACTACTTTGGGATTTGTATATATTTTATGAATTGTAAAATCTTATTCATTTTGATAAATTGTTTGTAATATTCAAAGTATGTAATATGTACTGTATATGTAGGTTTCTTATGAAGATTTCTAAATTGTATTTATGATAATTATTTAATATTTTTAATCTTTGTTAATATCATTATATTAATGTTGTAAATCTTTAAATTTTTCATTTATGTACATAACAAAAAGAAAATTTGACTAAATTGTTTTATAAATTTTATAGAATTATGGAAAAAATGCATTGTTTTAATCGATTAATAATAATTCATATATTGCATGATTTTTTGAGAATAAGGTGTTACAAGACAACCATTAATCAAAGTTGACAGGCTACCCCCACACACATAAGCTTCCATCCAACTGACCCATTTTTTTGAAAATTCGAAGCTACGTAACATAAGCAAAAGATATCCCCACTTTACCAAGTCATAAGCCTTCAATAATCAAGCTTGAACACAAAACACCTATTGTTATGCCTGCACATATAATCAACTACCTCATTAGCAACAAGCACTATCTAACATGTTCCTTCCTAGAATAAAAGTTGATTATTGTTCCAAGATTATTGAATCCAGAATCCCTTTCAACCAATTCGTCAAAAGCTTGGAAACAATCATATAAAGGCAACTTAGCAATGAAATAGGCCAAAAATCAGAAATTTGTTGTGGGCAAGACATTTTGGCATAAGCACTACAAAGTAGGATAACAAAGACTTAGGTAGTTTCCCATTTCTAAAATATTCAGTAAGCATACCCATCACTTCTCCCTTGATCACTTCCTAAAACCTCTTAAGGAACACAGAATTAAAACTATTAGTCCCCAGGCTTTTAACCCCCTCACACTCCAAAATTGACCTTCCTACTTCCTCCTCCAAAAAAGCATTAACAAGCCTCTCATTTCGTAGAATCGAGACTCTTCATAAATCATTAATATCAATAGTAGGTCGAAGCCAACCTCAACTACTAAAATGCTCCGCAAAATAAGACACCTCATTTGCTTTAATTTCATCAACCTCTTCAACACTTCTCTCTCCAATTTAGAACGCATGTATATTATTCCGTCACCTCCTCCTATTAACACATAAATGAATGAACTTTGTATTTAAATCACCCTTCTTCTCCTATCTCACTTGAGCTTTTTGAGTTATAAGACTCTCCCTATTCTTCCTGGTCTTCCAAATATTACCTACCAATATTTGTTGATGCTTCTTCTCCACATCGGAAAGTCCCATCACAAAATTCTTATCATCAATCAAGCTTAACTCAATTGTTAGATTAGAGATCACCTTAATAATATTTCCAAACACCTCAATGTTCCATTTTTTTTCAAAACAATCTTAACATTCCTCAACATTTTCCTAGCTCTCTAGGCAGCCCACAGAAGAGTAATATCTCTTTTCCATGCTTCCTCCACTACCTCCACAACTCTTTTATCAATCAGCCAATAATTCTTAAATCAAAACAGCTTCGGATCCCAGTTAACCACCTTGTGCTTTAGAATAATGGAGCAATGATCATAAACATCTCTGTTCAGAACTTGCATAAAACCATATCCCTAGTAATCAAGTCAAGAACCAAAAATAAGAACTCTATCAAGCCTGCTCATCATAGAAGCATCCCCTTATCCATAAGTATTTTTGGTCCACAAGTAGAAGATCCATAAGCTTCATTCTCTGAATGAAAGAATTGAGCCATCTATTTCAGATATATCATGGTTTGCCTGACAACCCTTCCTCTCTTTTACCTATCTCACAGCATTGAAGACACCCACATAAATATGTCAAAACTCCTCCATGTCATGAGCAAATCATCTCATAACTTTCTCTTTTCACTTAGTCTACACGATGCATAGACATTCACCACAACACATAGGTTCCCGTAGTCAATACCTGCAAGAAAACACCTAGAAATCTAGTACCAGAAAAAAAAAAAAAAAGTATTTTATCTTTTAATATGTCCCAAAGTGAAAGCATATCCCTGCTTCTGCCAACAGAGGGCAGGCAATCCAATCAAAATCTATAGAACCCCACAGACGCGCACATAAGGTGTGATCACATGTCTCAAGTTTTGTTTCCTGAATTACTAAAAACTCCAAACCTTCAGAGCGAACAGTGTCACACACCTTCTTTCGCTTCACTTCACTCCCTAGCCTTCGATAATTAAATGAGTCAATCTTTATTTAGAACCAAAGTGAACTCCATGTTTGTTTGCATCCCTTCTTATTAATGGTGTAGTGATTTATTAAAACATTCTAGTATTAAGCATATATATGATAAATTTTATTTTCAATTTTATCTTCCTAGTCATGCTATATTTTTAGTGTTGAGATATTACAATATCACTTTTAATTTAACACTTATTTATTTATTGTTTGTGAAACTTTCTTAATAGTCAATGAAACACATGAACATTGGATTTAAGATAATAACACATAATTAAAATCTTTTTTCTTAGTATTGATATACTCTTTCTTTAAATCTAGATTTCATTTTAATTTTGGTTTCTATATTTTTATTCATGTGAATTTTTTTTTAATTTTAATTTTTCATATTTAAATTTTATAGTTTTGTAATTATTCAAATTAAATTTTTTACCTTAAAATCTTGTCTACTAATTAATAAAAGTATAATAGAGGTATAACACATCATTAATCTAGATAAATTAGTAAAAATGAGTAGCATATTTAAATAACGATAATAAATAACATGCATAAAATATATATTTTCTTTTTTTTAATTATAGTACATATTATTTTTTTATATTTTAAGTTTGAAAATATTACAAGTCATCAAATAATACAACATTAGTCTGCTCTTTTCTCTATAATGTTTTTATCGTATTTAATTATTATTTATGAAGAAGCTGTCACTTTCTTAATAGTCAATAAAACGCGAAAAGGTTGGATTTAAGATAATAACATATAATCAAGATTTTTTTCAGTATTGGCATAATCTTTATTTAAATCTAGATTGAATTATAATTTTTGTTTCTATATTTTAATTATTGTATTATTTTTTTTTTAGATTTAATTGCTCACCTTTTTTTTTTAGTTTTGTAATGATTCAAACTAAATTTTTACCTTTAAATCTTGTCTACTAATTAATAAAGGTATAACAGAGGTCATTAATCTATATGAATTAATAAAAATGAATAAAATATTTAAATAAAGAATAAATAACATGCATAAAATATAATAAACAATTTGCTTTTATTTAATTATATCATACATATTTTTCCTGTACGAATCTTTACAAATCAATGATATATTAAATTTAATAATTATTATATGAAAGTTTGGAGTGAGAAGTTTAATTTGAATAATTAAAAAAATATATATAAGTAATTAAAGATAGAGAGTCTAAAATTGAATATAAATTAAATATGCGGACTGAAAATCAATTAAGCTAAAAATATAAATTTGGTTATTATTTTTAATAAAAGAATATTAAATAAAGCAATAAATAAATCTGGGTCGAATGAATAGGTGTACACGACCATTATCGTGGGAATTTAAAAGTGTAAATGAAAGCTTGACTTGACAATTGATTCCATACATGAGCTTCCAAGAAATTCATAGAGTGAAATGGAGTGTGTGTTTGTGTGTATATAAGTGAAGTGATTCCACACCCATTATCCAAAAGCATCAACACTTAAAATATCTGTTCTGTTTTCCTAAACATGGGAAGACACCTACGTCCTGCCTCTGTGCTACTTTTGCTGTTAGCTCAAATCATTGCACAAATTCAGTTATGTCTGTGTGCAAGTTCACCCGTTGCCTGCATAGGAAAAGAGAGAGAAGCTCTTCTCCAATTCAAAGCCTCCTTCACCTCTGATCCATCAAACAGGCTTTCCTCGTGGAAAGGTATTGACTGTTGCCAGTGGGAGGGAATAGCCTGCGACAATGTGACTCGACATGTTGTCAAACTTGATCTCCGAAATCCTTGTTCGCCTCCATCTTGGCCAAAATTTTTCGATCCTCCAGAGGAATGCTACAGTGATGACCCTTTCATGCGAGCTCCAAATGTTGATTCAAGTCTACTGCAGTTGGAATACTTAACATATTTAGACCTCAGCGGAAATCGTTTCAATCGGAGTCAAATACCAATGTTCTTGGGTTCTATGCAACGTCTCAGGTACCTTTCTCTCTCTCAATCTTATTTGGATGGCAGGATTCCGAGCAGCCTGGGAAATCTCAAGAACCTGTCCCTTCTTGATCTCAGTTGGAATTTTATTTTAGAAGCCAATGACATCAATTGGATCTCTCAACTTGAGTCATTGGAACACCTTGACATGACTGGTGTTGACCTTGGGGATGCACACAAACTGTTTCGAGTACTTAACAAGCTTCCTTCCTTGTTACGTATTTACTTGCGTGGTTGCAATCTTCACAGCTCACTCATGCCTCTTGTCAATCTCACTAAAGTTCAAGTTCTTCACCTTGGGGAAAATCAACTTACACTTCCACTTCTCTATGGTTTCCAAAACATGACATCCCTTGTCGACCTTCATTTATCAGGGAATCAGTTCGATGGATCAATTCCTGATGCTTTTAGAAACTTGACTTCCATTCAATTCCTCTACCTGTCTGACACCAATATAACTTCAATTCCATCCTGGTTTCCCAACTTTAACAAACTTGTGCATCTTGATCTTTCAACCAATGGGCTTCAAGGTCCAATTCCTGATGCCTTCAAAAATATGCCTTCCATTCAGTCCCTCGAACTTTCAGGGAACCATTTCACTTCGGTCCCATCATGGTTTCATAACTTTAAGAAACTTAAGTTTCTTGATCTTTCATTGAATGGGGTTCATGACCTTTCTAACTCCACGGACATATTTTTGTACAGTTACATTGGGAAACAAAAAGTTATTGATCATGCATTGAATGGGCTTCGTGGTGCAAAACTTGATGCTTCCAGAAACATGTCATCACTTATGTATCTTGATCTTTCAAGAAATTGGCTTTATGGTCCAATTTCTGACGGTATCAAAAACTTGACTTCCATTCAATACCTCTACCTTTCACAAAATAACTTATCTTCAGTTCCATCCTGGTTGAGCAACTTAAAGCTCGTGGATCTTGATCTTTCAGGAAATAAGCTCCATGGTCCAATTCCCGAGCCTTTTCGAAACATGACTTCTATTCACTCCCTCCACCTTTCAGAAAACAACTTATCTTCAGTTCCATTGTGGTTGGCTAACTTAAAGCTTGTGGATATTGATCTTTCAATGAATATGCTCCATGGTCCAATTCCTGAGGCATTTCGAAACATGACTTCCATTCAATCCCTCCAACTTTCATATAACGCTTTCACTTCAGTTCCATCATGGTTTGCTGAGTTGAAGAGCCTTGTCTATATTGATCTTGGTCAAAATGAACTCACTCTGATGGAATGTTCTCTTTCATCAATGCTCAAAAGCATGTGTCAATTAAAAAGCTTATATTTAACAGAAAACAAGCTTCGAGGGGAACCATTTGGACAACGCGAATTATCTGGATGCAATACGTATGATTTGGAAGGACTGTATTTAACTGATAATGAATTTAGTGATCAGTTGCCAAGTTGGTTGGGACAACTTGAAAATCTAAAGAATCTTGATCTCAGTTCAAATTTTTTTCATGGGACAATTCCCTTCTCTCTAGGAAAATTATCAAAGTTAAGATATCTATATCTATCAAACAATAAGTTGGATGGGACTCTTCCCGAAAGTCTAGGGAAACTTGAAAATCTTCAATATCTTGATCTTTCAAACAATTCTTTTATTGGTCTCATTCCTCACAGTTTCAATCAACTTAAAAATCTAGAAAGCTTGGATCTTTCATCAAATAAGTTAGACAGAATGATTTCTGTAGGAAAAGAGTGGTCTTCAATCATGCCTCGATTAGGGTTTTTGAATCTCTCAAATAACCAAATCAGTGGTTCACTTTCAAAATATAATGTTCATATAATGCCTAATTTAAGGAGCTTGATTCTCGAAAGTAACCATATAAGTGGCTCAATACCAATCTCTCTGTGCCAAACGATAATAGGCTACCTTGACCTTTCAAAGAACAATTTATCTGGTGAGATACTGAATTGTTGGAACCATAATCTATTTCACTTAAACCTTGCTAATAACCAAATCAATGGTTCACTTCCAGAAAACATTGGTCATATAATGCCCCAAATGACGAATTTGTTACTTGGAAATAACCTCGTAACTGGTTCAATACCAACCTCTTTGTGCCAAATGGAGTTGGTCAACCTTGACCTTTCAAAGAACAATTTATCTGGAGAAATTCCAAATTGTTGGAAGGATAATAATAGATGGGAAGAAATAAATTTGTCATCAAACAAACTGTCAGGGGTGTTTCCAAGTTCATTCAGAAAGCTTTCTTCATTATTATGGTTGCATTTGAACAATAACAATCTTCAAGGGGAGCTTCCAGTGCCTTTGAGAAGTATGAAACAATTGTTAATTTTAGATCTTGGTGAGAATCAATTTTCTGGGAGCATACCATTGTGGACCACAAACATTTTTCCTTCATTACAAATTCTTAGATTGCCAAAAAACATGCTTACTGGTAAAATCCCTTCCCAACTATGCCAACTCACAACCCTACAAATTTTGGATCTTTCTCGTAACAATTTGGAAGGTTTCATACCTTGGTGCATAGGCAATCTCACCGGAATGACTCTAAACATATCATCAAACCAAGCAAAGGAAGAATTGGCTTACATGCTTCGTGATACATTAGGTGCAGAACCTCCTGAACCTGAATGGAATAAAGAGGATGTCAAAGAAATTATGAAAGGAACAGAACTTGATTACATCAAAATCTTGAAGTTAGTAGTGAACATGGACTTATCAGGAAACAATTTGATTGGATCCATTCCTAATGGAATAACTTGTCTCACTGGACTGCATGGCTTGAATTTGTCAAACAATCATTTGAAAGGAGAGATCCCTAAGATGATAGGGAATATGAAATCATTGGAATCCTTCGATGTCTCACATAACCTACTTTCTGGCACAATTCCAAATAGCATGTCTGCTTTGACTTCACTCAGTCATTTAAACTTGTCACACAATAATCTTTCAGGACCTATTCCTAAAGATAATCAATTTTTAACTTTGGGTGACCCATCTATTTATGTCGGTAACTCATATCTTTGTGGATCTCCACTTCCAACAAAGTGCCCTGGTGATGGTTTGAATATAGCCCCTGAAAGCAAAGGTAATGCAGATGATGAAGGCAACAAAGATAAGGTAGAAAGAATATGGTTCTTCTTTGTCATAGCAATTGGCTTTGCAACTGGTTTATGGGGAGTGATTGGTTTCTTATTGTTTAAGAAGAGTTTTAGATATGCTTACTTTAAATGGGTGGATGAGAAAGCAGACGATATTTATGTTACAATGGTAATTAAGATGGCAAAGCTGAAGAAGTTGATGGTGTTGAGAAACTGTATTCGTGGGTGATTATTGTTTCTTTTCTTTTTCCTTTCCTAAAATGTTTCTAGTTGAATAAGGTTTATGTTTGTTCGCTTTTGTTTTCTCTGCACGTATATTTTTAATTGAAAGTATGTTGTTTGAACTTTCTACATATATAAATTTACTTAAATTTGTATGAAGCAGCTTAAGCTTTCAAGCTTCATCATATGCAGAGTGGCTAAAAAAGTTCCAAAGTTAGCATTTATATATATATATATATATATATATATATATATATATGTATATATATTACATAAACTTACACTGAATGATTGCATTATACCAATTGATGATATTGAAAAATCTTTTTAAATAAAAGTTTAAATAAATCTTCCATTGATAATTGTTAGTAAAAATTGATACAATTATTAAAGTATAAAATAATAAGTAATTCATACAATATCATAGAAGGATTGTATTATAATCTAAGCAACTTATTGGTTGTAAGCATCCTAAAAACATAAATTTTTAATATATAATTCACAAAAGATCCAAAATTCAATTTAAATTGTGTTTTACTACTTAAGCATGCAAAGGTAAATCATCTAATATTTTGCTCATTCATAACGTTGGTCGATTGAATGTATATATATTAAGAAACTTGGTATAGAAGATGATGAACAAGAATTTGAAAAACTGGTTTTAAGGCACGAAATCAATCGCTATCTTTAGAGAGATATTCGTTCCCACATGAAGTTGCTATGGATTGATGACAATACTCTCTCAAGATACAATGAAATCTTAAATTTTTTTGTCTAGCAATAACAAGAAATTTTTCTCTTGAAATTAAAATTTATGAACACTCAAACTCATTTGTTATACACAGTAAAAAAATCTCATGTTCAATAATGGGGGTTTATTTATAGTTGATGATTTAAACATAAGTGAACAATTACATCTTTTCACTTAAGAGTCGTGTCTTTAAAACCAAGAGATACCTTAAAAGTTATATCTTTATACTTGAAAGTTATGTCTTTAAAACCAAGAGACACCCTTAAAAGTCATATATCCTTTCACTTAAAGGTCATGTCTTTAAAACTAAAAGATGCCTACATGAATCAACACACTTGTTCATGGTTAATAACCGTTTCATCTCTTTTAATTATTTAAATAATCTACTTTTAAACTTGTAAATATATTTCAATTCCCTACTACTTTACAAATTTAAAATCAATTTATGCATAAAGAATATATCACAAGGATTAAATATTCTTTTATTGTAAACTTCAAGATTCTAACAGAGTAATAGGTCTCTAATTGATTAAACCTTTGCTCTCTATGTTAGTACCAAAAATTTCACACACATAAATTGTATTTCTTATCAAGTTCAAGAATTTGTTAATTCTAAGCACTTTTATGGCCATGTGCTTATCCTGGTCTCATGAATATTTACGATAATAAAACCTCTAAAATTCTTGAAGGAACCGGCACCACTTCTATATTCACGTAGGTAGAATCATTTGATAAATAATATCAATCCATTAAGAGTTTTAACTCACCCTACTAATTATATATATATATATATATATATATATATATATGATACTAAATCCTATATCTTAGTGCTCCAATTGTTAAATAACTTGTTATACCCATGAAACCTAGAAACTAGTGTTCTACTAGAACAAGGTTAGGTTCCCATCATTTAACAATTATAGGTTTTAATCCCATTTTAGCAGTAGTCTCTTTGGCCTTATCCCTTGACAAACCTTTAATCAGTGTATGCTAAGTTCCCTTGGAATTTTACATATGTGATGGTAATTATACCATCTCCTATTAATTACCTCACATGCTCACGTCTCAAGCTTATATATCTAGACTTTCCATTATAAACTTTGTTATGTGCTCAAGACATGGTTGATTCACTATCATAGAAGATAAAAATGGCATTTATTAGTTGTGGCCACAACTTTATATCACATAATAAATTTCTAAGCCATTTTGGTTCTTTACCAGCTACTGATAAAGCTATAAACTCAGCCTCCATAGTAGAATGTGAAATACATATTTGTTTCTTTAAGGCCTAACTAATTGTTCCACCACCTATGGTGAAAATCCATCTTGAAGTGGACTTATTATCACTTAGATTTGTAATCCAACTAACGTCGGAATAACATTCCAATACAGCAGGATAATTATTGTAGTGTAATCCCAAGTTTATAGTTTTCTTGAAATAACTAAGAAATCTTGTTATAGCTTTCCAATGTTGATTACTTGGTTTTTGTAAATCTTGATAGTTTGCATACAACAAAAGCTATATCTGGTCTTGTGCAATGCATTGCATACATTAAACTTCGTATAGCACTTGTCGGTTGTTCACTTCTTCATATGTCTTGAATTGATTACGATCATTGCAAACATGAACAATAACACCGTAATATAACCACCATTCATGGGATTTTTCATATGTTGCGACGTTTAGTTCTGTGATCATACTAATATGCGTGCATTGAACTCCTTTAGTAGTCATAGCAACTAAGTCTCTTTTTTCCACAAGGTTGGCCTTAGAACTTGATGCTTCTTTTGAGTTATTACCTATTTTTAGAAGTCGGCATTCCTTAATGTAATGCCCTTTCTTTTGATAATGGTAACATTCTCTTTGTCTTTTTTTATCTTGCTTGGCATCCACAAAGGATTTCTTTCTTTTGCCTTTATTGTCATTCACTTATCCAACATGGTTCACTATAGAACCTTAAGAATGATACACAACATCATGTTTTCAAGTTTCCTCTTCTATACATAAATGCCTTAGTAATCTTTCAACAGAGAAGTCTTCTTCAAGATGTAGGAGTTTCTTCCAATAATCATTCCAAGATGAAGGCAATTTTGAAATAATTGCTCCAACTTGTAATGATTCAGGAACTATTACTTTTAGATCATGAAGTCTACTTACAAGAATTGTAACTCATGAACTTGATCCATGATAGGCACGTTATCAGCCATACTAAATTTAAAATACTTTAACATGATAAATTTACCCGTACCTTGTCGTTCATTATTGTATTTCTTTTCTAAAGACTTCTAGATCTCTAATGACGATTGAATTAACATGTAAAGATCATAAAGTCTATGTGACAAAGTGTTGAGAATGTGTCCTCGACATGCAAAAGTGTCTTCATCACGCTTTTTCTTTAATTGGACAATTTTTTCCTTTTCTTCATCAGTTGCATCTTTAGCAGTATAACACCCCAGATTTTTGTAATATTGATTATTATTGTATATATATGTAAATGTGAATGGATGTTGGAATGTGAACTTGAGTGCATGATGAATATTGAATGATGATGTGTATGAATGCGTATGGATAAATATACGATTATAAGAGTATAAATATATGTATATGTGTGTTTGTGTGTGTGTGTGTGTGTGTGTGTGTGTGTATGCTGAGAATATTGGACTGTGGCTAGTTTGATTGATGAAAATTTGGCTAAGTGTCTGGGTATTCTTGCTGTAGCGAGAGGAGTCTCGCTGTAGTGAGAAGGCCATAGGAGGAAGGTGTGAAACTATCGCCTTCTCGTTGTAATGAAAGGTCTCTCACTGTAGCGAAAGAGTGAAAGTTTGGGGTGCATTTCTGGGTGCAGTCTGGCTGTAGCGAGAGGGTCTCGCTGTAGTGAAATTCTACAGAAATTAGAGCACAGTTTCTTGTAAATTTTCACTGTAGCAAGGCTCGCTGCAGCAAGAGAGAATATCTCGCTGTAGTGAGAGTATCGCGACCAGAAGGGTATTTAAGGGATTAGGGTTTGAGAAAAATCATTTTTTCACTTCTCTCTTCAAGCTCTCTCTCATTTCTCTCGATTCCTAAGCCTTTCTTACTGATTAAACTGCCTCCAAAGTATTTTAGGTGCAAGATTGAAGGTTGGAAATACGTTTGGAGCTTTTGGAGGTGAGTTTCCATGGTTAGTGTAACGCCCCAAATTTTGTTAATATTAATTATTATTATTCTTATATATATATATATATATATATATATATATATATATTAATATGTGTGTTGAATTATTTGAAAATGATGTTTTATGTGTGTTAAGTGTATGGATGTATGTATTATGCGTATGCATGACTGGATAGAGCTGGAATAGGCTAAGTGCCTAAGTGCAGGCGTGGTACTGGGCTGTTCTTGCTACAGCGAGAGGATTCTCACTACCGCGAGAGGGCCCTTGGAGAAAAAGGGCAAACTGTCGCTTTCTCGCTGCAGCGACAGAGCGACAGTTTGGGGTGCATTTCTGGATGCAGTCTCGCTGTAGCGAGATTCTACAGAAACCAGAGTGCAGTTTTCTCTGGTTTTTTCGCTGTAGCGAGAGTGTCGTGACCAGAAAGGATTTAAAAGGGGTTTAGGGTTCGGGGAGAGTTATTTCTCCCTCTCCCTTCGATTCTCTCATTCCTCAAAGCCCTTTTCCACCGATTAATTGCCTCCAAAGCCGTTCAGGAGCAAGATTTGAGCTCGAATTTGTGTGGAGAACGCTTGGAGGTGAGTTTTAATGGTTCGGGTTTCGGTTTTCCTTCCTTTTCTCTAATTTTGGGTGATTTCTGGGGTTCTCATGGAAACTAACTGTGTGTTTAGGCCGAGATCTGTGTGGGGGAACACTCCCAGGTCGACTTTGAGCGTGGGTCTTCAATTCAAGGTAAGGGGGGACTCTACCCTACTCTTTTATATGTAATTTACTGTTATTCTGTGGAATGTTGTGATGTTGCTGAGTTAGAGGATAGGAAATTGCTGAGATACGTTATGTGAATTATGTACTGGATGTTGTGAATGTGTATGGGCACTCGTGCCGTATAATTGAATGAATATTGTGTGAAAATGTGGGCCCGAGGGCCGTGTAATATGAATGGAAATAAGCTAGGGGTCGTGTGTCTTGCATGAATTGTGAGCTATGTGTTGTGTGTCCTGTGAAAATGAAATGTGGGCCTAGTGTCGTAACTGTTAAATGTGGGCTATGTGCCGTATACTGAAATGTGTGTGACTGGGGCATATAACGCCATTGTAATGTGTCGTGAATGGTTCAACGATACACTGGGGGTGTGGAAGATTAAGGACGGTAGAAAT